GTGGACACCCATTAAGTTGCCATTTTATAGGCAACAACCTTATACCCACCTTATAGACCGGCTTCGTGAATGAGGCGTACTAGCGGTAAGACCGACTTTACTCTTATACATATATATATTATTAACTTATAATATTATAAAGTATAAGGGTTGAATTTTAACTTTTAAAATTCTAAGGGCTAACTTGGAATTAAAGTATTCATAAGAGAAAACTTTACAAATTCCAAAACTTGAGGGCAAGTTTTGAAACTATTCAAAACTAATTAATTCCATAACTTATGTGTTTAAAGTAGTTTTAATCCAAAAACTCTTCAAGTTCCATAACTTGAGGACAAATTATGGAAGACTTTAAACTAATAAAGAATTAACTTTTTCTTTATTTTATAACTTATGAAATTAATTAAGGTTACATTATTTTTTTTATTTATATTTATTTAATGAAGAGACTCTTGGTCCTCCATAACTTGAGGACAAATTATGGAGTCATAACTCCAATTAATTAGAACTAGACTCTTCATTTTTGTAACCTTTGCCAACTTTATGAGTTTTATGAGTCTTTAATGTGACTCTTCATGTAACTTGAGGATAAGTTACACAAACACATTTTATACTCAACTCTTAGATTAAAATGGATTGAAAACAACTATTTCAATTAACTTTTCTATTAATCTAAGAAACTCATAAGAACAAGATAATTCAAATCAAACTTTTTCATGTAATTAGTCTAACCTTTAAACTAATACAAAACATGAATCTATTGACAATTATCTTTGAAAATGGATTAGCATGAACATTACCACATCAAAAACAAGTTTATAAGTTCAAAAACAACTTAGGGTAATGTTCCTAGTCCATTTCTAGCCAAAAACCTCGAAGATATGCTGTCTGGGGTCCAACTCGTCGAGTGCATGAACACAACTCGGCGAGTTGGATGCATTTTGCCTTGGACTCGTCGAGTCCCTTCATGGACTCGGCGAGTCTGCTGGGCTGACAGCACAAAACTCGATTTTTCAGCTTCTATTGCAAGTATAACAAGAAAACAAGCCTAGGCTCTGATACCACTGTTGGGTTTGAGCATTCTAACACTCCTAAGTGTACATGCAACCCTAAATACCTTGGATCTATGTTTTCTCTATTATACATGCAAATATGAACATCCAAGGTATTATCCTAATCTAGCATACAAAATAATATATAACAAGATAGAATACATACCTCTTTGATAGTGCTTGTCTTCATGAAGCTTGAGTGCCTAGTGCCCCAAGTGTGACACCTCAAATGGTTCACACAACACCATAAGCACTTGGAATAACTTAGAGAGAAATTAGAACACTTCATGAAATCGTCTAGCCCTCATACACACACATAGTCACGATTTCTTGAGCCATGGGTTTCTTTTATATGGTGGCTATTAGGGTTACACCATGTAACTCATGACTTTACCCATTCCTTATGCTCCATGGATTTTAACCTCCATGGAGTATCCATGGGTCACCCCATGGACTTAGTCCAACATAAGGAATCTTGGATCACAAGCCCACATATATAAGAATGAATGATTTACACAATCAACCCATATATTTAATTAGTCTTCTTTTGATCACTTAATTAATCCTAGATTAATTCTTGATCAATACTAATTAAATAATCTTATTATTCTTATTATTAATATACTAGAACTTATAATATATTAATAACCATAAGTGTCTTATTTCTCTCATTATATTCTATCCAAGTGCATGATGCCATGCAACCCAAATGGACCATGCCGGGTCGGGTCAAGTCTTACCAATTATAGTTATGGACTTAGACATTAATCCAACAAATACACCGCTCACTGCGAGGTTCAAGCTTGTTGTGAGTCTCTCGTCTTATGAAAGCCTCGCAACCCCAAACCTTGATATGTGCCAATAAGGAAAACTTCCCTATCTACATCTCGTGAGGTGTTTTGGTAACTTTCTTAGTTGGGACTAGATTAAGGATATGGGCGGAGGTCTCGAAGGCATACCCCCAGAACGAGATAGGTAGCGAAACTCAACTCATCATGGAACAAACCATGTCCAAAAAGGTTCGATTGCGCCTCTCAGCCACACCATCGAGCTGCGGTGTCCTAGGCAACATCAGTTGTGAAACAATTACACATTCCTTAAGATAGTCGTGGAACTCGATACCAAGATACTCACCACCCATATCGGATCTGAGCATCTTTATCTTCCCGCCCAATTGATTCTCCACTTCTTGTTTAAACTCCTTGAACTTTTCAAAGGTTTCCGACATGTGCTTGATTAAGTAGATACACCCATATCTGCTATAATCGTCGGTGAACGTAACATAGAAACAGTTAGCATCCCTTGTGGTGGATCGAAAGGGCCCACACACATCGGTGTGTATGAGATCCAACAATTCCTCACCTCTTTCACAAGTACACGTGAAAGGTGATTTAGTCATCTTTCCAAGCAAGCAAGATTCGCAGGTGTCATCCGACTTTAGGTCAAATGACTCCAAGACTCCATCCTTTTGGAGTTGGGCTATACGCCTCTTGTTGACATGTCCAAGATGACAATGAAACAAGCATGTCTTGTCTAAACCATTAGACGAATCGATATGCATCACATTATTCCCTAAGTTGGTCTACAACCATCATTGTTTCATATACACCATTACAAGGCATTGCTTCAAAATATAAAGTACCATTATAGAAAACATTAGTAGAACCAATTTCATTATTAAATGAAAATCTAAAACCTTGTTTCTACAAACTATGAAAAGAAATAATATTCCTCGTTATTTATGACGAGTAGTAACAATCATTCAACTCTAAACCTTACTCACTACTGCACACTAAAGAATAAATGCCTATCTTGGTGACAAGCGGCGATTTCCTATTCCCCATTATCAGGTTCATCTTCCCATGCTCCTCATCCCTACTTCTTTCTTAGCCCCTACAAATCTGAACAAATGTGAAAACCACATCTTGTATCAAGGACACAAGAACTAGCATGTGATGAGTTATTAGATTGAATATTATAAATACTTGCGAAGGAAGGTTTTATCTTCCCATCTTTGATGTCCTGCAAGTATTTCGGTCAACTTCATTTCCAATGCCCCTTCTCGTGAAAGTAGAAGCACGTTGCTTCTTTAGGATCGGATGATGGAGTGGCAAAACCGACTTTGACTTTGGATCCATTTGAGGAGGATCCATCATGGGCATTTCCCTTGTGGCTCTTAAAAGGAGCTTTCCTCTTCTTCCTTTTTCCATGTCCTATTGCATATGTGATTTTCACTCTTGGGAGTTTTGCTCGAGTTTGGCATGTACACCAGGTTTTGGAAATACTTACTTTGTAGTTGCAGATTCTGGAATGTAGAATGACATCGACTTATGTAAGGGATTTGTAGATTTTTAAGAGTAAGTTGACTAAGACTATTGAAGATTTGTATAATAATTACAAGTTTAAAGAGGAAAATGAATTTACAAAACAAACACGACAATGCTTTTAGTGAAAAGTCAAGTAACTTTGGTGTGATGAATATTGATTTGAAGCTTGAATTTGAAAAATATGACGATGGGGGTCAAGATGAAAAAAGTGGGGTTGAGATCTATTTACCTGATGAAGGAACAAAGGCTTAATGTTTGATCTCTTGGGTTATTGGAAAGAAAATTAGGTCAAATAAACCATATTGTCTAAACTAGTTAGACATGTTCTGATAATGCTGATTTCAACGGTTCCATCCGAGTCGGCATTTAGTACCGGTGGCGGAGTTATCAACAAGTATACGATTTCTAACACTAACCCCACAAAACCTTTGATTTGTGCATGTAACACATGTCTTGCGGAATGGATCAAGGGTGTTTATTTGTGATGGGCTTCAAACGAATTATGGCTTATAAACAATTGGTTTGATGTAAATGCAACTTTATAAAAATGGGTGATTATTATATTTTAAAAATGAAAAATTTAATCTGGAATTTGCACTACAAAAAATATGTCACTTAGTGACCAAAGCGAAATGGTCACTAACAATAGAATGATTCGTCACTAAATGATTTAGTGACCAAAATTTCGGTCATCACTTTTCGTCACTATAGGTCCGTCACAAAACCGATTTAGTGACCAGATATAAATATGGTCACTAAACAGTGACTAAAATATAGTCGTCACTAAATCTGTGACGACCCGCTTCGTCACTAAATGTTGTTACTAATCAGTGAAAGTCGTCACTATTTTATCTACTTAGTGACCAATAAAAGTCGTCACTATTTTATCTACTTAGTGACGAATAAAAGTCGTCACTGTTTTATCCGATTAGTGACCATAGAAAGTGGTCACTGGTTTATCTAATTAGTGACTATAATAGGTCGTCACTGATTTAGTCTTTTAGACAAAAAAAAGGTCAATATTTAAGAAATTATTAAAATATTAAATGTCATTTTTAAAATGAAATATAATAATATCCAATTAGACAAAAGACATGGCAAATGCTATAAATGTTTATAATACGACAACAATAACCAGATAAATTTTCATATAAGAACGGATGATTTCCCACCTAAATTATACATGAAATTATAGAGTTGCTAACACCACAAAAGCAAAATAGAAGTAATCAAATGAAAAGTTCCATTTGTTGGGCATCCTTATGGAATACTTTTCAGACTCCTGCAAAATACAATGATAAAATGGTCATTTACCAAATAGAATGGTCAAATGGTCATTCATTAAATAGAAGGGTAAAATGGTCGTGTACTCAAAGAAGAGAAGGATATTGTTTCTTTTGTTGGTAAGCATTGTTTCTAAATAGAAGGGTTAAACGGTCATTTAGTCTAACAAAAGTAAGATATTGTTTCCTTGTTAGAAAGCATTGTTTTTAAATAGAAGGGTAAAATGATCATTGACCAAAGAGAAGGGTAAAATGACCAAAGAGAATGTATTATTTTTGTACCTTTAAGGCATGCAATGAGGTTTATTTGGAGAGCCTTTCGAAAGTGATGTTTTGAGAATTTACGCAAGGCCATACCATGCGTTATAATGTCTTCCGTCAACTTGAAGGGCGTTTTGGTAACATTTTATTCCATTCTCAAAGTCCTCCAATGCCACATATCTGTAAAAAAAGATAAATGCATATAAAAAAAGTGATGTAAGGGTGCATTTGTAAATTGTACATGGGACAGGAGTCACAGGACAAGCTTTTATGGATATTTTTTATAATGAGGGTAAGGGCATTTTCGTCTTTTGCACAAACGGGACATTGAGTTTAATTTTTTTCCGTTATGTTGTTGGATGAATGGATAATGTGATCTTTGTCTCGATAATGTGTTGTATATATATGTAAGGTCTGTTTCTTTTTTAGAATGAATATAAAACATATGAACGAGACTAAATGACCATTTTACCCTTACTATCCAAAAAAAACAAATTTCAAAATATGAAAAATAAAAAAAATAAAAAATCATATTCATGACCACAAAGGGTGTGAGCATATGCAATTTTTGAATTCAGTTGTACTGCTCATTGAAAGTTCTTGAGAGCAGTTTCATGGTCTTTTTGCATACTAAAGCAATTTCCCATTGCACACCAGTCACATTTATATTTAAAAAATAAATAAATAAAATATAAAAAATATGTCCTTATAGAAGACATAAGTCAACCACTTATATATTTAAAAATGGTTACCGTGATTTAGGGCTAATCGATCCGTTAATATTAGCTCTTGTGCCAAATAACTCAACCTCATACCCTCCTTTAGGTGCTACAACATACGAGACCAAAGATTATGTAAAATTACCATTTTGCCCTCTGGAGGTTTAGTTATAGTGTTATAATATCAATGAGACTTACATATAAAAGAGTAGAATAAATATCCATTCCTTCTAAGCTATAAGTCCGACAAAAACACACCTTCCTTTCAACTATCTCCTGTCAACCTCCTCCTGAACCTCTCCAGTTGTAGACAAACACCAGATACAACAATTATAAACCCTCTCTCTCTCTCTCTCTCTCTCTCTCTCTCTCTCTCTCTTAATAAAAATAAAATATGAAATGACGTTCTTACCCTGGAGATGTACTCCCAGGTTCGCTTGAGCATCGATCAGCTTCAGTGTTGAACTCCTTTCATTTCATATAATATACGATAAACTTGTTAGGATTCAATAATAACTTCTGATCTGAAGGAATAATATGTCTGAATGCATACATACCCTTTCAACATGACAAATCTGGAAAGATGCAAACTTATCTTTCAACTCCTTTGCTACTTTGCATAAGCTTGTCATGTTCTGGGTTTTCGTTTTCCACAAACCATTCACCTGTTTTTTTTTCATAACACTTACCACATTAACAACATAAACACCACTATAAACCTTTAAAATGTTTCAACACCAAAACTTATGTTTATGTTTATTCACCTCCTATTTTATACTTACTTTCTAATTACTTCCTTATAAGTAGCTTATTAAATTAATATTAATATAAATGAAATGTTTATGCTCAATACTTGAATGTTTAAGAATATGTGATTTTCCTTCAAATGTGAAGTCATTATCTTGGAAGGAAATAGATATTATAGAGTCGATATTTAGAAAAAAGTAGAATCTGAGGTTTCTATTTCAAATACAAACACAATAAAGAGTTAAAAAAGGCCTCCATAAAGTGTCATGTGAAGGAAATGTGGATTTTGATCTTAAAGGCAACATCTTTAATCATTAGCCACAAAAAGAATGTCATGTTCCATTTACTATTTTATTTTTGAAGTTTTTAGCATGGCATATATTACAATTCTATCCATTTCTAATCTATCATATCAATTTGTAGTGGTGTAACTTTTACTGGAAACAAAAATAAAAAAGGAAAAAAATATACCTGCATACAAAAAAGTTTGGAGTCTCCTTGCACACGGATATGCCTAAAACCTTTCTCATGCTAGTAAACAAAGCACTGCCTAAATTACTCATATAAGTTGCATAATCCCATTGAATATATTTACCACTTTTATCAAGAAATAGTTCCGCAAGCCCTAAAAACTAAAAGATGGCAAGTGATTTGTTGACTATTTTGTATGACGGAATCAGAAAAAGGAATGGAATGGTTCATTCCATTCCTTTCCATCCAATCAAACAAACCAATTAATAGTTTAAAATCATTATGATTTGTTGACTGTTTTTAATAATTGTGATTGCCTTTTTCTTATTATTTGTGCAGGAACTTGTGGAGATGATTTTCCGATCTGCAATGTAGGTTTTAGAATTTCCAACAACTAGAAATTCGTTGGTTTTTACTTTTTAGGTTAGACGTCAATAAGGCAAAAGAAATCCAAGGTTTCTATATGAAATGCGTCTTTACTCTTTAGTGTGAAAAATTAAGTAAATTAAAGTTTATATGTGAAAAGCGGATCAGGATATCATAACAAATTCATGGGAAGGGAAGGTTAGTCAAATAGCACAAATCATGGCATACAGGTGTATATATGACAAGGTGATTCAACTTGATTAAATGTGATTGTAAAACTCAGCTAAACCTAGAAAAAGAAGTTGATAGTCAATCGATCGATTGACTTATATTATCATGCAAGTATGGAGTACCTGTTTGACTTCGAGTGGAGAACAGATGTGCGTTAATGGGAGGGTGTGGAGGACGATGGACCGCCGACCTAGAAAACGAAGTTGAGTCATTCAATCGATTGACTAATCTGATGATGCGAGTATGGAGCACCTTTTTAACTTCGAGTGGAGAATAGAGGTGCGCCAATGGGAGGGTGTGGAGCGGCGATGGACCGGCGGCGATTGACCGGCGACAATGGGTCGGCAGGATGCTGTCAATGTTGGTGTATCGATTTAGGGCAAAAGAGAGCGTATTGAGTCGATTTAGGGCATAGTACTATAGTCAAAATTAGTCAACCTTGTTTATCTCCTTACTGAACCATTTAATCGTGTTTACAAAAAATTCTATGTATAATTAATTTGGTCAAAATTAGTCGGTCAAAATTAATCAAGTCTTCTTATTTAGTCAAGAATAAATACAACTATGACTTTTTCTAATGTGTTTATCTTTTTATTTTTTCAACTTTGTTCAAATATTATTATAGTAAACATGTTTGATAAACACCAGTCAATAATGTAATGAGTCTTTACAAAATTATGTATAAAAAAGTTGTAGTTATTTTCAAAAATAAAAAATATTAATTAAAAATATTTTAGTTTTTATTAATTGAAAACTATAATATATATAATCAGTGACCACTGCTTTATGGTCACTAAATGTTATTTTCTTGTAATTTATCAGTGAACACTATTGAGTGGTCACTAATTGTTTTTCCTCATTTAAAGAGTACCTAAAGAGTAGGTATGCGATATTGAACAAAAGTAATCAGTGACCATTATTTTTGGTCACTAAACCTTCAATACAGTGACCACTTTTTTCGTCACTAAACTTCTAACATATTGATCATTAGTCTTAGCCACTATATAATTAACATAGTGATAATTATTTTTAGTCACTAAATAGTTGTTATGATATGGAACAGAAACAGTTTAATTTTTTTGCATTATAGTGACTGAGTTAGTGACCACCACATATAATTCGTCATTAAATTTGTAAGAATACCAAAATTTAGTGACCACTTAATTTCTAGTGACTAAAAGATACTTTCAGTGACCAAATTTTAAGTCGTCACTAAAAATTAGTCACTAATAACGACTTTTCTTGTAGTGTTGAGACGTTATAGTGCCCAAAATAGAATACAATGTTCTTCGGTAGATCATGACCTTGGTTTTACTATGAGGAGTAAAGATATAGATGAATTGACGAAGAAATTATATGGTATAAAAATTGGTAAGATTTTGTCGATATTTTTGGACTTAATTTCACAAACAGACACTATGACATTAATATTATCATGTTTTAGATACACTTTCAAAGAGTAAAAGATAATCCAATGATGTTCAGCAAAAAGCGATTAAATTGCTTTGCTACCACATAACTAACATGTTATATTTTTTTTTATATTCTCTTATGTTTAATGATTTTTTAATTTTTTAGTACGTAATGATTTTGGTTGTTTACTTGTAGTCTATGCAGTGGAAACAAAGTTTCAATAGCAAGTTGTTACATGGGATGAAAGAAACGAAAAGATTAGAAGACAAAACTTTTATTTATTTATTTGTTTAAACTTCATAAATTGGAGAAATTTAGTGTTTTTAAGATGTTAATTGTTAATTACTCAAGTTATTCATTTGATGGCGCTTTCAAATATCTCGAACTCTAAAAATATGGTTTGGTGGTGTTTTAACTTTCTAATGTAAGCTATTTAAATTTGGTCTTTTTAAGATGTTAATTGTTAAATACTCAATTTTATTAGTTTGTTAGTGTTTTAAGTAATTTATTAAAATTTGACATTTTTAAGATACTAATTATTAATAGTTTTGAAACTCTTAAAACCACTAATTAAAAGACTCAAATCCATATGGTTAATAACAACAAAAAATATTCCAGAAAGAACAACATACAAAATCCACACAATCAAATACCAAACTACAAACCACAAAAAAAAAAAAAAAAAAAAAAAAAAAAAAAAAAAAAAAACCCACATAGCCGCACCATTCGGTTCCCAAAATGAAATAATCGTAGTTGTGTTTTATGGTTTGGTTTTGATCAATAATCGCATCGAACTACACTGTGCTCACCCTATTTGTAGAGAGGTATATTCCTGATCGACTCCGTTTCTTTATGACGAGAAAGAACCAACTTTTTGATAGCTTGGGTTCTCTTGAGAGGGAATTGGATTGGTTTTTTGATATTAGTTTCTAAACTGTTTGCTATAGTTGCCTCAATTTTCTTAGTTGCTCAAATGCTTTTAGGAATCATGCGTTAAGTACAATATTCGTTTATATAAGGCTCTTTTCCGCCTGAAGTATTATTTGTCTCCTCTTATTGCCATGACACCATCTTGTTCTCAACATCAAAATGAGATGATTGTTGCACCTGATGACCTAGCTTCTATGAATTATGTATTTGAACATAGAGAGAACGCCATAGGCTTACACTAGCTTAGGTCGTGGATGGTTGGTATTCTTGAAGAGACTAGGTACCCAAGTTTTATAATTGAAAATATCTAGAACATTTTAAGGCATGCTCTTGGGAAAAAATAGATATTAATAACTCAAAGTTTATTAAATGGAAACTAATAGGACAATAAAGTAAATTAATTGTTCATTTATTTAAAATGACATGTATGTTGAATAATTAGGTGATAAAGTAGAACTGTACGTTGAAATATTTCGAATTTAAAAGTAAAGGGGAAAATCTGATACTTATATTTTGGGTCATTTTGAAAATAAATAGAAGATAAGGGGCTTATTGTAAACATAGGTTAAATGTTGGTATCAAAAGTTGAAACTCGGGAGCACCATATTTTCTTTTCTTCTGAGCGTCGATCGAATATTAACAAAAGAAAAAGAAAGCGCTGGTTTCCTTGTGTATGCGTGGTTATGTCTACAATCTAGAAAGAAGGGGAGACCTTCAATGTCTCTTTGTAATCTGCTGAGTGCGAACCGAACCAGAGAAAGAGGAAGAAGAAACGGAGCACAGAACTCATATAAGGTGTGCGTGATTTCTCACATTTGGTAACCCAAAATTCCAGTTTTCCTTCAATTTGACAGATTCTTGAGGTAATTACCAAACCCTAGTAAGTTGATTTTTTGAAAATATTCAAATAAATGTTGAAATTGGATTTGGACTCATGAATTGCTATTTGTAATGAGATTAGAAACATGATTGCATGGTAAAAACGTGAATATCTTGAATGGAGCAGATTTGAGTTTTACTAACCTTTATTAGAATTGGTATCGAATTTTGAATTCCAACACTTAATGGAAAAAGGAATGGGCTAGGTAAAACTTTGATGATAGCATGGAATTGGTATATAAATGTCACAAGAATTGAGGAAACACATTGATGCAAATGGGACAATTGTAAGTAATTTACAAAGAAGGGACAAAACCTTAACAAGTTGAAAAGTCATCTGCTTACACATTTTTGTAAAGCACTTATCACAACCAACCAGGGGCGGACACAAAATACCATAGTAAGGGTGTCACGGGAAAATCAAAAGTTGCACGATAGTAAAAGAAAAGAAATTTCGAAAATTTTTGCACTGCTTTCAGAGAAGTCAGGGGTTACACGTGTCACTATCAGCCCTATACTAAAACCGCCCCTGTATGCGAGATTCAGTCACTTGTCTTTGTTCTATAAAACATGAATTTTCACTTGTTTGGAGTACCCCGTATATTATTTGACGATATAAGCTTATACTTGAAAGAAAAACAAATTTCATTGTCAATATTTTTTTTTCTTTCAAAAAAGAAGTGTAGTCAATTTTAAAAAAGAAATATGAATATAGGCATATTATGCTTTTTTTTTTGTTGGTTTTGTTGGCAAAGCTAATAACAACATATGGTTACACCTGATATGAGGAACCAAAATCAAATATCAATGTTTTATTCATTGTCCTGTACGTAAGGCTCATAGTGCATAATTTACATGACTCATTGGCTTTAATTTACATGATCTTTGGGTGTATAAGTAATCAAAAGAATAGTTAAACATTATTACACCTCTATTCGTGTATCTAATCAGCAAGTCCCTTTTTCATACGATGGAATTGTTTTCAAGTGGGACTCAATTGATTTTGTAATGCATCAATGTTTAGCCCACTTATATTTTAATTTGGTTAAAGAACAAAAGCATGTGAGAGTTAATGGTTGATATATCATCATCACAAGGTCATGGACCCAACTTCTGCATATTGCTCACTAATTATATTTTTGATGATAAGTCGGTACAACTTATAAGTTTTTATTTATTTATTTATTTATTTATTTTTTTAAGAGAAAGAGTATTAAAAAACAGCAAGAAGCTGGAATTACAAGCTACAATACATTGGGCTATCAACCTACCAAGACAAAGATCTCCCCCACCTAGCTCTATTTTTAAGACAAAATTCCAGAATTCAGACTTTATTAAAAAACTTGATAAGTACCGAACCGTTTATAGAGTTAAAATCTAGAATTCATTTTTTTTTTTAACACCGAGACTTAATTAAAAAACAGTAAGAAGCTGGAATTACAAGCTACATTTAACTTCATTAGTTTTATTCACCTTAAATGTCAAATGGAAGACCGGCTACAATATAACATTAAATACAATACCCTCCATTTCACTCCCAAACAAAAATTCACATTTCCAAAATAGTCGATGGTAAAATTAGTTTCTCATTCATACACTGAAAAAATTATAACGAACTCAAAATTATTCCATGATCCGATTTCATACAACTTGGAAAATTGTCTTGATTTAATTACAAATGATAAAAAAAAAAAAAAAAAAACCTAGTGGTTAGATAATTGTAAGAATGTTGTAAGGAAGTCATAATGCACCCAACTGAGAAGCAATATCACTGAACGTATATTCACTGCAAGGAATTGTGAGGCCACCCATTTGATGAACATATCCAAATTCTTGCTCTGCCTGATCTAATAATTCTTGAAATGCAGGTTGGCTTAACAACCATACAGGAACCACAAATCGCTTCTTCTCTTGTTCACCAACATAAATTGCTAAATAGCCTTTCGGGATTTCCATAGATTTGTTTCTGCTGCTTCCGTTGGATAATGAT